AAGAGACGCAAACAAAATACCCTCCTGCTTTGCTCGACCAAAACAGCAGAAGATGCCTCAGCACTGAGGGATATTGTTGTTCTGATCGAAGGATTATTGATGTGAGGGCTCCACAGACAACATTTCATAAGTAAGATGGACATATTATTGTGTATATATTGTGTTTAGAATATTACTTTACCGTATTTATGTCCACCGGCGAGATACCAGCTAATATTAGCTACAGTGCTTGGTGTAATACGGGTTCAGCCCCGCTATGAAGGCTAACTGAGATTCCGTTAATCTAAAAAATTAATTATTCTCTAACATTGACTTAGATTATCTGACACAAGAGCCTATATTAGAAATGAAACAATATAACACATATTATAAAACTTATATTATGTGTTATAACATTCACCAGCAAAGTTTACACAGGTGGTAAAGACTATTATTTATATGTAATTCTTTCACTCTGTCAAAGTGAGATACATCCCAAATCTTCCTTTTTTGTTTTGAAGGTTTCCTAAAGACACGATGTGAGGAGTAGGGACAAATGTATTTAAGGAGAGACAGATTCACTACACAGCACGGATGAATCTCGCATCGGATTTTGGACCCAATCACTCTTAAGCTAGAACTGGTCAGCTGGAAAACATGAAAAAACCTGTGTGTGTGTGTGTGTGTGTGTGCGTGTGTGTGTGTGCGTGTGCGCGCTAAACATGTATAGCCTAATATTATTCAGTATTAATAATTGTTTATTTATATTTAGATAAATATGTATTGATAAGACGAGAGCGGTCCATTAGGCGTCTGTCCTTTTATTATGTCTGAGAAACGGCCCGATCTCCGGAAGACGGGCCCTTCGAAGGCCACGAATATGGACGACCAGAAGAGAGAAGCTGTTTGTTTGCGTCTCTTTTTTTGTTTGCATGTTTTCTCTGTTGCTGCGCATTTGCACCTGTCGGCCACCGTACAAAACAGACCAAATTGCTAATTTATTGCAAGCGAATGCAAAAGAATAAAGATTTTCCGACATGTGGCCACTTGGGGGCTCCATAAAAAGTACTAAAGAGTTTAAAATTCAGCTTTGTTGCAAAATGTTAGGAACTTACCAGGTCCTTGGCATTGAGGGAGACTTCGTCCCACCACGGAGACACAAACTCGTAGTCGCAGTTCAGGATGCGGCTGTACATGTACTGGTCGCCCCGTGGGTCAAAGAACGGCTCAAAGCCGCAGAGTCTGGCAGACAGGAAGCAGAACTTTAAAGCTGACCGGACACCTCCACCGGCTGTCACACAGAGAGAAAACTCCCTGAATTATGGAGCTGTTTGTTAGGTTACACCGTCAAAAGTTGGCAGCAATAATTTGGGTTATTAGGGGATTCACCTTTTTTTTTTTAAAGGTTTTGTTGGCTCTAGTGGCCTTTATTTGAAAGTAGTTTGACAGGAAAGAGGGGGAAGACATGCAGTAAATGTCACCAGGCTGGGAATCGAACCTGTGACCACCAGCATGACGACTAAGGCCTCAATACATGGGTTGTGCTTTTCCCCTGCACCACCACAGCATCTTGAGGATTCACTTTTTAAAGTAACATTTTCACCATTCATTTATAAATATTCGTGTTTTAGGCTTAATGTTTCATTACCAAACTTGATGAAGTTTGCTTTAACTATTTAACTTGGAGCTAAATATTTAACTGTACATTAAATATTTAGTTAGCAAGCTAAGCATTTGGCTCTAAAACGAGTTTTTAAAAGGGTTTGCAAAAGCCAGCTTTTATTTTGATAGTCCACCTTTGGCTATAGCATATTAGCTAAATATTTAGCTTAGAATTAAATATGTAGTGTCAAACTACAGATTTAGCTCAGTATATAAATATTAGTTTTATAACCTAATCTTGTTAGTTAGTTTCAAATGGTGATATTTTAAATATAATTCTTTAATTGTTTTCCTTTTATGACTGGCTATAATAACCCAGATTTCTGCTTGATTTTTGACAGTGTAATTTACAAACAGATTATTGTGGATTATAACCACAATTTATTCATGGAAAATTCAACCACTCATATTTTTATTGAGCTCTTATGGACTAAGCTATTAATTTATTCCATGGTTTTTCACGGGGTGTCCAAACTTTTTGTCACATTGGTCAAAATCATTCAGTCAAAAGTACAGAAAAAAAAAACTTGTAGGAAGTTACTCGTCATAGATCTGAACCTTAAAAATGATTTTTGATTCAGATTTTATTTAATCTGACTCCCGTTCCAACGAGTAAGAAAAGTCTAGAAGTGAATTTTAACCGACGGTCCCTGAATGCATCGTCAGGCTCCATTAGAACCGACTTAATGTCTCTGGAGGCGATGCTCCGGTTCACCCCGTGTCAGCTGATGATGAATCAGTGTGTGTGTGTGTGTGTGTGTGTGTGTGTGCGCGTGCGCGCGAGTGCGCGGACTCACAGGATGTACAGGATGACGCCCACTGACCACATGTCCACCTCGGGGCCGTAGGCATTTCCCCGCAGGATCTCTGGAGCTGCAGGCAGAGGGGGCGGTTAGCGGTTAGCGACTAGCGGTTAGCGTCCAGGTGGCCGACAGACGCTCCGGTCCAGAGGTCTGAGAAATCCCACAGAGCAGCGGCTGCAGCGACGCATCGCCGCTCACCTCCGCATGTCAGCCACACAGGTGAACGCAGCAACACACAGACTGATGGAAACACTAATTCAACTCAGAAAGTGTTTCATTTCTGATTAAGGATCAATAAAAGTGGGATTTTAATGCAGAATATTACGATCTACACCAGAGGTGTGCAAACCTTTTCTAACAAATCGTCAAATCCACAGCCAAAAAACAAAACATTAAAAAAAAAAGTTACTTGGAAATGTTGGTATTTCAAGGACTAAAATTACAATAATTCATATAAGTAACAAAAATAACAAAATCAGAAAAAAATTTCAATAAAAAACTTATGAAGCTTTAATATAAACTGCAGGTGTCTGAGTCTGGTGAATTTCTGGTTAAAACATGTTTGTTTTTCATTCAAGGGGTAAAAAATCCAGAAATTTTACTCAAGTAAGAGAAGAAATACTTTAAAATAAAATTACTCAACTAAAAGTAAAAAGTGCAGCATAGTAAAAATACTCCTCAAAGTGCATTTTTTATTTTTTTGGTTGAGGAAATAACATTATAAAGCTGGAAAAAGTGGATTTTACGATACTGTCCCTTTAAGAGCCAGGGAGGAAAACCTGAACAGAAATGAAGGTTTTGTGTGAAGTGATTCAGAGTTGGGACTCTGACTCCTCTTATCCTGGATCAAACATGGCTGCCTGCGAACCTCCCCAGGTTTCATTTATCCCCATCAGCGTCTCGGCTTTTACTCACCGCAGTAACCCGGAGTCCCGCAGACCGTCTTCATGGTCACCTGGTCGTCGATGATTTTGGAAAGGCCGAAGTCGGCTGTGAGAAAGGAAAACATTTGGACCGAGCCGAGTCGCATGAACATGTTCTTTAAAAGTTGAATCCAGTTTCTATTTCGGGCCTCGGCTGTGAGGAGAATGTGTTTCTCTGCAGGAGGCAGAGCGGCGCCTGTTGGCCAGCGGCTCGGCGGCCATCTGGACGCGGACCGGCTTCTCCACCAGCCAGCCTCCGCTCCTCAGGCTGAAGCACGGCGAGATGCTAATTATTTAACAGTTCTACTGAGAGCTGTGTTTATTTTTAGAGAGCGAAGGTAAGCCCTGTCGCTACATAATGACCTGCTAGTTTGTGAATTTATATTATGATTTAATTTTATCTCCATAGCAGCAGGATTTCTGCAGCCACCGCAGAGCGTTAAAATATTAGATTCTCTTATCTAAAACACAACATTACTGACCAACCCTCCATTTTACTACGGTTTCCATCTGTCAGAGTTGATAAAAACTGAAAGCCAAGACTGTAGGAGTTTTTCTATCGCATCATTTCACTATTTTAACATCCATCTTTACGCCGATGACACGTACATGCTGAATGGGCCAGCCAGTAAATTTGCTGGACAATAAATTGTAGTTATTGGGATAAATGATAATATTGCTGTTTTAAGATTTTTTTGACATTTACAGAGTATTTTCCTTAAAACTTAACAGAAAACAAGAAACATCTCCGTAATTAAACCAATAAATTAGTGGAGGTCGTTCATTCTGAGGTCAGGCTGCTTCGTTCTTCATTTTGATTTATTGATCTTCTTGAACCTTCTAGCTGCTGGTTTTCTTTTATTTCTGGACATGTAGAAGTGTTTCCCAGCAGATGCTCGGTGTGTGTGGTTACCGATCTTGAGCGGCGCGTCCAGCGACAGGTCGGCGTACAGCAGGTTCTCCGGCTTCAGGTCACGATGGACGACCCCGTTTCCGTGCAAATACTGAAACACACAGAGAAACATCTTCAGATCGGCCTGCAGCGGCGACACGACGGGAGCGAAGGGCGGAGAAGTCTGGGCTGCTGGAGGCTTGTGGGAGGATTTGGCCGATGGAGAGGAAGGAACCGACGTGGAGACGGTTTGAATCCAACCTGACAGCTTCGTTCAGGTAAACGGCTGCCTCACCTGGGCCTCTTCTGTGTCTGAGAACTAAAGACAGCAGCTGCTGACATCAAAACACAAACAGTCTGAGATTTTACCTGCTCAGGTATCCGGATGATATTTTTTACTCTAAGTGACGCATACAAATCATTATTTCAGTAATTATTTCTAACCTGGGTCATATTTATGGGCTTTCAGCTGTTTTAGGTTTCTGGTGGCCATTTTATGTTTTATTTTAAAGAGGATTTATTTATTTTGCTAAATTCACATTTTCCATGTTTTCATTCTTCCATTTGGGTTTCTGCTGCTTCTAAAAGCAGCTAAAGCATAAAAACACCCAGCTGCTTTTCAGGCAATAAGTTCAGGTTTTTCTGTGTCTGGAAAACTAACCATTTCAAAACTTCCCAATCAAATCACTGTTACCTAGCAACCCTAGCCAACCCCAGTCCGTTACCTAGCAACCCTAGCCAAGCCCAGTCCATTACCTAGCAACCCTAGCCAAGCCCAGCCCGTTACCTAGCAACCCAAGCTGAGCTCCAGCCCGTTACCTAGCAACCCTAGCCAAGCCCAGCCCGTTACCTAGCAACCCAAGCTGAGCTCCAGCCCGTTTGGTCAGCTGTATTCACTGTACAATGGCTGCAGGAAAAGACAAGAGTTTTGTTGCTGACTTGTCATCCAGAAACCACTTTCTGCGTTCTTGTTGGTTGTGCAGGAGGCTCTACTTTTGCTTTTCAAAGATGTGCGGTTTTATAATTGCGTTTAAATTTTGTTCTTGGACGTGTTTGTTTTATGCTGAGCTCAGCTGCTCATCATTTATTTTACATGATTTTTGTCTAGTGATTATTTTTCCACACAGAAGCTGCTGAACCTTTTCTGGATTCTTTCTCGTCTGTCTGTGAAGTTTGGCTGCCGGCCGCTGTGAAGGCTCTGGCTCTGGAGACAGACCCAGGATTATGGACTGAGCCTCGGTGGTTTCTGGGTCTCTTTCATCCCGACTGATTCCAAATGTTTCAGTTTTTACTTTAGATTATTCTTCACCATGTTTTATCCTCTCTTGTGTTTCTCAGGATTTGCAGATATTTTCACCTTAAAGTTTGTTTTTATTGTGATCCTGAGAATCATTTCAGCTTTTCTTCAGACATTTCTGGGTTTTTCTAAGCTTTAAAACAGAAAATGTTTTATTTTTCTGTAAATGCAGTTCAAGATGTGTTAAAACTCCTAAAGACTAAACCTCACCAAATTCTCCTTTTTCATGTCTAATTATGTTTCCGACCAGCTAACAATTAACCTAATTATACGTGGGAGGTTTATTTTGTTAATATTCGCTTGATTCTGTCCTCATTTTTTTTAAATATGCTGCAGGCATCAAGTGCGAGGCGACATCAAAAGAATATTTCCATGAATCTAATTAATTTTTCTCGTCCCAGATGGATAAAAGTCATCGCCTCCATGTTGGGAAGCAGCTATAAAAAGATGCTGTTGTGTTTCTTTCGCTGCAGATTAGCGCCACACTCACAGCAAACACAACGGCGGAGTAATCCCAACACTCCCACACACACACACACACACACACACACACATCAACACGACAAGCTTGCACATGCAGAAATAAAGAGGCGTATGTTTGGTAAATGTAGGTCAACTGTGGTCTGTGTGTGTGTGTGTGTTAATCCACTCTGGTTTTAATCTGTTGAGCAGCAGGATGGAAGCTGCTGTTACATAAGCGCGCCGCTGCTGCAGCTACCAGACTTCTGCGGCGGCGGCGGCGGCGGCTGGTTTAGGCTCCGCCCACATTTACAAGCTGTTTATTTGGCTTTGTTTGACCTTTATCTATACAGGATAAATCTCATTGAGAAATAAATTAGTAACCTATTGCAACATGACTGCTTAGCTAGATTTAATTGGAGATAACAATAGGACTGAAACGATTAATCATGATTAATCGATTATTGAAATAATTGTCAACCAATTTTGTAACCAAGTAATCGTTAATTAGAATATACAAACTCACAGAAATGCTATTTACTGAAAGAACAGCGCACTCTGAGCAGCAATTAAAACAAAACGGTACAAAAAAATAAACATTTTGTATTTAAGATAAAAAACATTTTGGTTCAAATTCTATAAAAATAAATCACTCTTTTCGCTACGCAGTTATTACTGAGTTAATAACTGATAGAGCTGAGCTTTTCTCAAGCTCATTTTATTTGTATTTTTTAGCTTCAACTCAAATCTTTGTTGCAATCAAATGTTCACTAAGTAAAATATTAACTTTTGCATATAAAAAGAATTTAATTATTTGTTTATTTGCATCTTTTGTAAAAACTTTAAATGAAAGATATGCAAAATTTGCCAATTTTTTTGTCCGATTAATTGTCAGAATAATTGATTAGTCGTCAGTAGCAGCTCTAGATTAACTAGATGAAGAAGGATTTTAACCTGAAAGTGTTGGATTCATTATTCACTGAACGTTTTCCTCATAAGATCCACCTCTTCCCTTTTTACTGCAGAAACAACCGGCCGATTTGGGGCGTGAACTCCTCCGACCCTCGGCCTGTTGATATTTGGCACCAGGCTGTCTGCAGAACCCAGATCAGCCTCACAGACGCTGAGACGTCCCAGAGGCTTTTAGAGCAGAATCAAAACCTTCATCAACCGTTTCTACAGTCTGGAGAGAAGAAAATTCAACCTCTAACGGCAGCTTCCATACTGAGGACGTTAACAAACATTAAATTATAATAAACTTAATTCAGCCGCAAAAACATCTTCTGAAAAATCATGACTTTCAGTTTGAAAACACAGCCGCAGAAAACTGGCTTCAATAAAAACGTAACACATCAGAGAATAACACGTTTAGAAAAACTGGACGAGGATTTCAGCTCATGAAGAAGCTTCCTGCACAGAGCCGGCCCAAAGCACAAGCAAACAAAGTGGCTGCTTAAAGGGCCGGTACGATGTGGTTTCCAGACACATAATACAATTGAGAAACTTTCAGCTGCTATGAAGAAGCCATATGTCAATTATGACTTACAAGAAATTAGACTTCGTAATTTAACGTCTTCAAATTGGGTCTCTGTCTCTTTAAAACCTCCTGCTCTTTCTGAAGCTCCGCCTTCAGGAAGTCATCCCAACATAGCTTCTCTGTTAACCCTTACACTACGTTTTTACCAGCGTTGCTCTGAGAAGCAGTTCCTATAACGAGATCAGCACCAGGTGTTTGCTAATTGCTGCTGGCTAGTCTGAAGGAGCTGAGGGGGAGACGGATAACCTGTGAAAAAAATCCTGTTGTCGTTTGAACAAATCCATCGCTCCCGTCCAGACCAGGGTTTTAGTGCAATCGATCATTCTTCTGTACACGCTGCTCACATCCTCCGTCTTTCTCTTTTTCCCTGCTACGCTACAGTTACTTCACCTAAGTAGGCCTGTCATGAATGCTAAAGCTAGTTAGCATGGCCACTGATGACTGCAGAAAAATGGGTTTCCTGTAACGATGAGTTGTTTTCAGCAAATACACTAGCATGTTTGACAGCACTGAGACCCTCCTCCTGGCTCTGATCAGTTGGTTTTGACCAGTCAGAGCTAGCAAGCATTTAGCTTTCATGCTAAACGATTAGCATATAGGACATTTAAGTCATCAGTGCTGTTTGTGGTCACAAGCATTAACCATCCAACTGCAAACACTGAAAAAAGATAAACGTATTCAGGCTGTCGTCTTCAGAACGACTCAAACCAATTTGGTCTGAAGAACAAGAGCTCTGATTGGTGGAAACAAGAAGTCACTGGAGCACAGTTTTTGATTCGTTTACGTTCAAGATCTGATTAGGGATGGATGGATGGATGGATGGATGGATTCTCTCTCTCTGTTTCCTGATCGTCCTTCATTAGCTGCTGCATGCTAACCTTTAGCTAGCGTTTAGTTAATTCTGTTTAGAAACATTCAGTGACTAACCAGCCAATCAGAGCAGACTTCCTGTCTCTGACTTCCTGAATCAGATTTCAGCCATGTTTCTGTTTCTGCTGCTTCTCTCGGCTTCCAGTAGAAAAAACACCACCGATCTGTCTCCATGGCGGGAATCACAGCCTCCCTCTAACGCCTCTCAAGGTGTTGACAACGTGTTTCTTTCACACCAGCGCCGCCGTGTTGACGACCTGATGGAACATCGGCGCCTCACGTCTAAAAACAGCCCGTTTAAAGGTGGAGCTTGGTGTGAAACTGTGGAGGCGCCGCCCTGCTGGTGGGTGTGAGAACACAGTGAGCCAATCAGGATGAGTGGAAACGAAGCTGCAAAGCAGCTGCAGTCATGAAAACTAAACTCTGAAACAATCATGAAGTCACAGAGACAGGAGCTGATCAGAGGAAATAAGTTCCTATCGATCTTATTTAGGGGGATCAGAGTAAATGGGGATAATTACTATTATCATATTTCATATTTAGCAAGCCAAATATTTATGTTTTATTTCTAAACTAAATATTTTTTTGAAGTTTTGACATCTATGAATGAATGAATAACCCGATGATAACACGACTTTGAAAAATGAACTTCCTATTTTTTCTGCTGCAGGTTAAATAATCCAAATTATTTATGTTCATTTTTAACTGTAACTCTACGTGCATGCCACATTTTCAGATTTTTTCTTTTCATCTTTAAAAAGATGCAACAACATTGCATCATTTTTCCCCATTTTATATTATGTTGATCTGTCATATGAAATCTCTGAAGCTTCTGGTTTTAATGTCATAATTCTGCTATAATAATGTGGAATAGTGAAATGTTTTGTGTTTCTCTGCGATGTTTTTCTGAATGATTCATTTGATGAAATATCTTACGGCCACAGCTTCCAGGATCTGCTTGATGACATGCGCTGCGTCTCTCTCGCTGTAGTATCCTCGCTCCACAATCCTGCAAACCAACAAGAAAAATAAATTCAGCTGCAGGACGCAGAGACGTGCTAATCCTGAGCAACAACCTTAAAATCACGTCACCAGATTCTGAAGAACCAAACTCAACATGGCAGCTTTGGTACCTAAATTGGCCTCATAACTGCAGAGAATCTTGCAAATGAATAAACCCAGTAAGAGCAATAATTTTTCATCTAACCCAGTTACTAAGACTAAAGACGCAACTTCTGCAGTAAACTAACCATGGCAACAGAAACAGCGCCTGCAGCTGCAGGTGGAAATGAAAACAAATAAATCCGCCAACATAAAAACAGCTTCAGCTCTTCAAGCCAAATTTAACTCATAACTCAGATCCAAACCCAAAAGTATTCATACCCCTTCCAGGTTCAGGTTCAAACTATTCATTTTACCATCGTGTTTCTTCAATGGGAAATTGTAGGTAGAAAAAAAAGGAGTAAATCTCCAACAAAATATCCCACATTTTTAGAACTAAACAAGAAATTTTCTCATTATGAGAAGTCAAAAATTTGCTAGAAAAAACTAAAAAAAACAAAACAATTTAACTTAATCTCAGAAAAAAATCTTGTCATTTTCTGAGTTTCAGAAATGTCGAAGTCATTTCTAATAACTTCAGAATCTGGATCTTTTTTTAGTAAAATATCTGCAACATTATCATCCATCAACAGTTTGAGCTGACCAGGGAACCTGCATGGCTGCATCTGCAGCTTCAAGGAGACCTGTGATGCTTCCTTCAACAGGCTAGGATACGGCCTATACAAAACATCTTACATTTTTTTTGCATAAAATTATTCTTACATAATCAGGCCTTAATCTGTTTTAGGGCCTTTGTCACTTTAAATCCTAATAAGCTGCTGCTGGCCACGCCCCCAACTCAACCTTTGCCCTGGCATATGAGAATGGATGCAAACAGATGCACAATTGTAGAACTTTGAAAAGCATTAGCAGAGCCGCCTGCGCAACCAACAACAATGCAGTATGTGGTTTCTGGATGGTAAGTCAACAACAAAACATTTGTCTTTTCTAGCAGCCATTGTGCAGCATATACAATGCTAAAACCAGCTGGAGCACAGCTTGGGTTGCTAGGTAACGGACAGAACTCTGCCATGGTTGCTAGGTAACGGCGCAGTGCCAGTCAAATGTGACTTAATGTTCTGGAGGTTTTTGAAACGGCTCAGACACCAAAGAACATTAAATTATTTCCAAAAACAACTGAGTGTTTTTTTTAAGTGCTTGTTGTTTTTAGAAGCAGCTGAGACTCAAATGGAACAAAGAAAACGTACAAAATGTGAATTTTGCACAATATGTCGCCTTTAAGCAACAAACCAGTTGAACGTCAGGGTGTCGGCCCGGTTTGGTTCTTACCGGTCGAACAGCTCTCCGCCGGTCACCAGCTCCAGAACCAGGGCGATGTCGGTGTCCGTCTCAAAGATCTCCTTCAGCTGGATCTGAAACACAGAAACAAAGGCGCCGCTCCAGTTAAACCAGTTAAAACCAGATAAAACGCAGGTTCCTTTAAAACTGTTGAAAATCTTCCAGGTAAATTGGATTAATACACAACCAGGATTTGATTCAACCAATCAAATCCAAATAGTCTTTCCAAATCTGGATGAATTTGGTAAACAAATATGGAAATCCATCATCCATCCATCATCCATCCATCCATCCATCATCCATCCATCCATCATCCATCATCCATCCATCCATCATCCATTCATCCATCCATCATCCATCCATCCATCAATCATCCATCCATCATCCATCCATCATCCATTCATCCATCTGTCATCCATCCATCCTCCATCCGTCATCAATCCATCCGTCATCCATCCTTCATCCATCCATCCTTCATCCATCCATCCGTCATCCATCCTTCATCCATCCATCCTTCATCCATCCATCC